TGCTCGAGTCACCAGACGCGCTTCGGATGAAAGTCGCCGAAGCCCTTGAGGTTCTAAAGCAGCACCAGGCCCAACTACAGCAAGGCCCACGTGAAGATGCCGCCTAAGCTGCAGAACCCGTTCTCCCTCCGGTGAGATGCCGTGTTCATACTAGTAAGATATACCACGCCACGGCGCCCGGCGCCCGCGGGACTCACCGCCAAAGTGACTTAGCCCCCGTATCACCCCGCAGTATCATCCGAGTCATATCCTCCCCCGCCTGAGGTGTCTCCCCAGCCCCCCTCCAAGACCGGGCGACAGCCGGGGGCCTACGGGGGCCTAGTCTCCGCAGATTTATGACAATCAGATCATCGGGGTTGGGGAATTGCTATAGCCTAGTTAGTGGCTCGCTCGGGCTGCTTCCCTTAGTTGTTGGCTATTTCTCATTGGCTCATCTTGGATATTGTACATTGTTCTTCCCCCCTTATCTTGGCTTTTATCTTGCTACTTTCGGTACGTCGGTGTGGTGGCTGTGGTGTTGGTAGTGAGTCCCAGGCTAAACTCCAAGTACCCAACTTCTTAACTTGAAGGGATAGCCTAGTTAACTCCCTTTAAGGCGTCCTTTATAACGAGATAGTAAACTCCGACACGGGGAGGCAGCCTAGTGGGGCTGCCCTGCCGTGTGAGGGTGAACTATCGAGGTTACGCAGCGGCGGTACACCGGCGTCTCTGTTATCCTCACGTCACCGTGACCTCAGCTGCCGTAGTATACGGGGGCTGGGGCTACTGGACGAACGGGCAGAGAACCTGCCTCACTAGGTCCAGGAAGACTCTCCGTCTATTACAGTGCGGGAAGCAACTATAACAGGGTTAGAAAGTATTAAGGAGGGGAAGGATATTGGGTGGCTCTGTACCAGCGAGCCACTAGGGAGATACAAAACTCTCTATCTCTCTACTTTACATGCCCCACTCGCCGGCGGCCCGGCCCCGCTTCGCATCCGCCGCCCGCCCACGGGCCCCACGGGCTCCCCCGACAGAGATAGCGCCAGGCGTGGCGCATTTAAGCACGGGGGGCTCTAGTCGCGAACTAAGTTCCGTTGGGTTTCTCGTGTCCAGGCCACGCGGGGGGGGGGGGGGGGGGGGGGGGGGGNA